TACTATATACTTACCTACTCTTCTTCCTAAACCAGTAGTGGGCTCTTCCTCAAGCAAAAATATTAAATTCAAAGTATTTTACTTACGAATTCATAGTCACAACAGGGGGCAGCATACAAAGGGGAAAAATCACCAAGCCAAATGCAAATAAATTGGCAAATAAAATTCCATTACATAATAACCGCTTGCCCTATGGGAAAATGCTCGACAGTATTAATTTTTTCATTCAAAGACACCAACATCAATGTAAATCTGATCCTGAACTACCGTAAGTCTTGCCACCATTCTACTCTTCTAAGCTGTCAAATACACTGTTAACACTATAAAATCCATAATTTTATTCTTCTGCCCTGCCAATACCCCTTTACCGAAGAAGAGAGTAAGTAAGCTAAGACTCCCATATAAATTCTGCAAAAAAAGACTACTCCTTGGATGTTGGGCAGGGGGCAGGCGGGAGAAGGGGACGGGTATATGCATACACAAAGAGTGCGAAGTGCACCATCCGGGGAATGGACACACTTGAAGCTCAGACTTGGGGGTGGGGCAGGGAGGACAACATATGTAACCTAAACATCTGTACCCCCATAATATGCTGAAATAAAAAAAAAAAAAAAGACGATTCCACACAACCATATCAAACCACAGTTTTGATCCCTAGCCCTGAAAACCATGCAGTATTTGTGGTGTTTTGTTTTCACGGGTTACCAATCTACTTCCAAGCAAAGCCCATCTTGTTAAGCAATTCTAGAGTAGTGGCTGACTATGTGCTAGAAAGCAACCACCACCAGAGTACTGGAGGCCTCTAAGCGAAGGCCTGTGATTCCAGTGTTGTAGCCAAGAGCTAAGTAGGTTGTATCTGGTGTGGGCTGCATTCCCTTTCAGCCACTCCCGGTCATCCTATACAACTTTTTGTAAACAAAGACAATCATTGACTTCTGGGTAACAAGGTGCTTAAAAAGCTTATTTAAACTGGCTAATCCAAGTTTCAACTTTTCTCAAGTCTTTAAGTCATAGAACTGAAACTTCTTTCATTAAAACATCCCCCAGCTCCATATTTATCTTGAGAAAAATACTTTCCAATAGCTGAATTTACAAACATCTATGATAGACGGATGGTTTTAATTTTACATCCTAGGAGTTTTAATGCTGATCAAATTCATGCTCTAAGAATGAGCAGTACCTGCCCAATCTGCATGTTGAAAATACAGACAATCGAGTGGCACAGATGGAGACCCCCTTGCTCTCTGGAGGCAGGCTCTCGTGTCAGCATAAGAACTCCCAGTTACAAGCACAGATTCTAAACAGAGCAACTGAGAATCCTAAAAGAAATCAATGTGGGTCTCTGTCTAGATCATGATGTTATTACCAGTAAAAAAGCAAGAGACTTGTACCAGACACAAAGTGAGAATGAACGGCCAATTGAACCCAACAAAAAACAAACTTGCCAAAAGCTTCTCTTCACCACCAGTGTAAGGCTATTACAAAAATAATCTGATTACTGACGGCAAATAATTTGTTCTAACTGCAAACGTAACTCAGCAAATTCTAACCTTGGACCCGAGCAGTTCCTATGTCTGAATATGACATTCTGCCTAGCACCACTCAGACAAGAGATTAGAGCAAAGCCAGAATGGGACTCTTAAAACATAACTGTACAGACGTTAACTCAAAGAAGAAATCAGAAAGACTAAAATTGCCCATGAAAGCTTTAAATAATGTATAATTTTTCAAGTTCCTCTAAGACACAAGGAGTCATAAGACGAGGAAAGTACAGATTTTTTAAAAATTCTTTCTCATAAAAATTGTTTCAGCAATCTCTATTTTTGGAATTTTGAAAAAATGCTACCATCATAAACTCAGGACAGATGACTAGCTTTCTCTTCCACTTTGAGGCTTGAAACATCACCGTTCAATAGCTTTTTTAAGAAACCCAGTGATCAGGTATGCGCCTACACTGCCTTTCCACGTAATTACCTTCATGTCATAGCCGTATGTCTCCCGAATGTCTTCATCAGAATCTGTTTCTTCATCATCATAGTCCATTGTTTGCCGAGGGGAAGATGATACGCTACTCACCACCCGGTTAAAAGCAGACTGCTGGAAACTAGGTAAGTGTCCCTAAACAACAAATAATTCCAAGATGAACAGAAAGACATACTAAGCAAACACAGGTAATTAATATGTGCTTAAGGTCACCAAACTGCAATGAACTCACTAGGTGGCTCACAGTTAGCAGAAATCAAATTATTTGATTATGATGCTAAGGTTCACCCAGTATTTCCAGGTAATACTTCACTAGGTATGTATCCAAAGAAAATGCTATGTGTGTAGCAGGAGGAAGATGTCATGGATGATATAATTGCTGGCAAGTTACTGTTATTTTCCTAATCAACTGGTAAGATAGATTTGATTTACTATTCACACACTGACAAATATTATCCCAAGAAAGAAAGAAAGAAAGAATGTAAATCCTAAACTTGCCTGTAAATCTGGATTAGCAGCTGCTTTTTGGAGTTCTGCACTGATGATCTTTTCAGTTTTTTCTCGAGCTGCCTGTTCCACCATACGCTGGCTCAACACAGACAGTTTGGCTAGGGCAGATGACAGTTCATCTGTGGCCAGGGCCTGCCGTGCTCTATCTTGCCAACTCATAGCACGTTCTGTCAAACACTGAAGGGCCTCTCCTTCGGGCAACCGTACAGGCAACTTCTGAAGGGATACCAGGAGAGACAGAATAGTCTCTAGCCTGGGCCTTCGAGACCGCATACAAAGAGGGCAAAGGAATTTTACTTCTTTAGCCTGCCAGCTGGACCCTTTTTTCTGGGAACTTGATTTAGGAAGGGGAACACAGCTATTATGGAACCAGTCTTTGCAGAGCTCACACTGTAGCATAAACCCACTGGCTGTCTTGCGGCAAATGCAAAATTTTACTTCTTCTATGCGGTCCACCATTGTCATCTTGGCAAGGTTGGCTGCCCTGAGGGAATGCATGGCTTCAATTTCTTTTTGCTCCCGTTCTTTGAAAACCGCCACCTGTATATAAACAAACATTTAATGAAAGGAGTCAATGCAATACAGCCTCAAAATACCAAATCCTCAAGGCTGTGGGATCTTTCTCCAATTTCCGAAGATTTGGGGCACCCTGGTAGTTTTCATGCGAACATTTCTTATCTGTGAAATGGGCAAAGTGCTATCTATATTTATCATTTGTATCAGTAGAGTACTTTGAACTCTTCCGTAGGGGGCAGTAGAAAGATAATATGCGTTGAAATCAAGCAACCTGAGTACAAAGCCTGGCTCTTAAACACAGAATCTTAATATGAGGCACAAGTTTTCTGAACCTTGTTTTTCTGAAAAATGAGGATACCACCAACCTTGTTTTGTTGTTTTAAGGATTAAATAAGCTAACGTATGAAAGTGCCTAACCTGGTGCCTGGCACAAGGTAAACAAGGTGTGTATTAGTTTCCCATTCCCTTGTAATTCATTCTTTGGGGGCGAGTTCTACACAAATAAATTTTTATCTCTCTCTAGAAGGCCTCTCCAATTCCTGTGGAAGTACAATAAAAAAGCCTGATGATCAATCATAACAAATGCATCTTATGAAACTCATTTCAACAAAGTAAATAAAAGCAAACAAAATTTAATTATTGTAAATATTGTCAGTGCGTTTTCTTTTTAAACTATTGGTAGCTTTGAAACAATTTTGAAATAATTTCCAGTCCTACTTTTCTGGCTAGATTGACTTGTTATGCAGGATCTCTCTTGAGAGTTCATTTTCACTGGCCTCAAAACAGGATCATGTGTAGGCAGAAAGAGCCATACCAAGTTACTTAGTGCATGCAATTTCCTACTATTATGTATAGCCCAAACTCATTTTTATTTTCT